AAAATCTATGAAGCAATGCTGTTACTTGAGCGACAGAACGCGTGTCGGGAAGCGAGCGTATATAGACAAGACTGTCATGTTGTTACTGATAAGATCAGGAGCGTATAATGACAAATATTTGTCATTGTCATAAAATGACATATATTTGTCATTATACGCTCCTGATACGCTCCTGATTATACGCTTCATTATACTGTCATTACGCTGTCATTATACGCTCCTGATTATACGCTCCTCCTATATTTGTCAATATACGCTCCTGATAAGATGTAAGATGCTACCAAGCCATGAACGATAGATAGTACACTGTGTATGTCTGTATTATGATTCATGTAGTTGAACATACACACACACGCGCACGCGCGCGCGCGCACACACACACACACACACATACAAACACACACAAACACACACACACACACACCNCGTCGTGTGTGTGTGTGTGTGTGTGTGTGTGTGCGGGGTGGCGTGTGTGTGTGTGTGCGTGCGCGCGTGTGTGTGCGTGTGTGTGTGTGCGCGTGTGCGCGTGTGTGCGTGCGTGTGTGTGTGCGCGTGTGCGTGTGTGTGTGTGCTTGTGTGTGCGCGTGTGCTTGTGTGTGTGTGCGCGTGTGCGTGTCTGTGTGCGCGTGTGTGTGCGCGTGTGCGTGTGTGTGCGTGCTCGAGCGCGTGTGTGTGAATGCTGCTTTAGTCTTCATAAGCGTTTGCCCACACCATCGTTGTTAGCTTCGCTACCTCTGTATATACCTCTGTGCAACAATGCGCGCGTGTTTGACGTATGATCGGGATAAACACTACATGGGCGCCATGTTTGTGTTCCATACGTTCAGACATCACGCGGAAGTCTAACACACGACGCGGACGAACAACGGGGCCGCGCATGCGCAGTGCGCTGAATGCGATCATAATCTGAAACGCATCCGCGATCCCTTTATATACGTTTTCGCGCCGACACCTCACCGTGGAGCGCAAAAACTCCAGCTGGTGAATCTACGCACAACACTTCCTTGTTTAAGATAATAGCGGAAAGAAACAAAGGGAGAGGGCGAGACTGTNAAGGCTATGGTTACCCAGAAATGACTACACAAGGCTATGGTTACCCAGAAATGACTACACAAGGCTATGGTTACCCAGAAATGACTAAACAAGGCTACGGATATCCAGAAAGCACTACACAAGGGTATGGACAACCAATGCCGAAGGGGTATGGACAACCAATGATGAAGGGGTATGGACAACCAATGATGAAGGGGTATGGACAACAACCAATGATGAAGGGGTATGGACAACAACCAATGACGAAAGGGTATGGCCAACCAATGA